AGATGCCTGCAGAGCCCAACGGGGCGGGCGGGGGGGCGGGGGGCGGGCTGCTCACGCAGACATGCGATTTGGGGCTCTAAGCTAGGCTTGTGTCATCCCTAGTCTCTTCCACGTCCCAATTCCCCGCATTCAAACCTTGGGCTGTTAACAAATTGCTTGGTATTGCTGTCATGATGGGGTGTTTTCAGGCCACCCGACACTGAAGAGCACAGCGACTTCCTGGGACACGGGTTTGGTGAGAACCGGCAAACGTTTCGAGAAGAGAGGCCTGCTCTAGAGAGCCGAGCTCATGCACGGGGGCTTCAGAACATCCCCACGGCAGAGTTCAGTGTGTCCCAGCAAAAGAGTGACCAAGGCTGAGCGGAAACAGCGCCCTTCTCCATCTCTGCCACTCCCCAAGGGACCTTGCCACCCTCAAGGCTGTCGGTGTCACCAAAAGCCCACAGACTCCAGGGACACCATATAAAGGGTGTACATATATATATACACCTCCACCTATGTCTGCAGCCAGCACGCACTCCTTCCCAGCATGCACTGCTGCTCCCTCACCTCCCCTTGGATGGCTGAAGGATCTATCAAACTGAAGGAGGCTGAGGGTCAGCCCTGGTCTTCCGGTCCTAGTGCAGGGCTCTGGCCAAACCACAGAGGCACCTCGGTCCCCGACCCCAGTGCCCTGCATCAGCATGTGCCCCAGCCCCTAATTCCCCAACCTCTTCTCAGCGGAGCCCTCTCTACCTCCACGGCTGCTGCCGTCTCTGCCAGGGCCCTGGAGGCCCCTGGGACTCAGAGCCTGACTGCCTGGTCTCTTGATCCTCCCTGGCTCCCACCTCTGTGGCTGACATCGCTGGGGTCCCTCGCAGCCTCCCTCCTCTCTGATTATTGAATCAGGCCCGGCCCTCCCCAACCTAGCTGGTGGGGACGCCAAACATTCTAGCAGGTGAAGGAGCTGCCCTGGGTCCACTTTGTGCAGTGTGGGAACTCACCGAACTGAACCCCTGCCCGCCAAAAGTCCATTTTACTGTGGGATAACTTAAAAGTAAAAGAAAGACATGAAAAGCACTTTCCAATAAAGCCGCCTCCTAGCGTTGTAGCCAGGGTGTCTGGGAAGGCCGAGGAGGATCAGGTCAGGCTGGGGCTGGAGGGCTCTCCCATAGCTTCCTGTCTCGCCCCAAGTGAGGCCGGCTGTGCCCTCCATTTCCTGATGTCCGAGAGGCAGCCCTGCTTGTTCCCGCACTGCCTGGGTGCCCCACCCTGGCCTCTGCACCCACTCAAGGATGTTGCCCCCCCTCCCTTGCCTAGCCTACTCATTTGTCTTGTCTTACAAGAGACTCTCTCTTGGGGCCACAGTCCCCTCTAGCTGCTGTCAATGGCCGGTTCTTTCCTGACCCCCTGCTCCCCAAGGACCTCCCCAGCTGGGCACTCACTGCTCCCCACGCCACACCCCTGGTTCCTGGCTGTAGACAGGTCTCCAGGTTCTCTGTCCTCTCACCATCCGCTCACATCCGAGGGCCCCAGGGCTCATCTTTCGACCTTTTCTCTTCTTCATCTACACCCACACGTTTCCCAGCTGCTCTTATCTGCTGTGGTCCTAAATACCATCTGTCTGCTGACGAGTCCAACACCTCTATCTCCAGACTCGGGGCTCTGCCTGCCACTTTAACTTCACCCCCACCCTACGCCTCCTCCCTGGTCTCACAGCTGCTGCCCTTTACCTCTGCTGTCCAGTCTCTGCAGGGCAGCCCAAGCAGTCCTTTCAAACAAAAGCCAGAGCATGTCACAGTCTCCACGGGTCTAAACCCTTCAATAGCTGCGTCTCCTGCAAAGTCAGGGCCCGCCTCAGACCATTTTCTTTCTCAAGCCTCTTTACTGTCTCCAGCCTCAGCTTCCCGGCTTTTCCCGAATACTGGCACACTCCTGCCTCAGGGCCTTTGCACAAGCCGTTCCCTCTGCCGGGAAGGCTCTTCCCCAGTGAACCTCATGGCCCCCCCTCACCTTTTCTGTTTACAGTCTCAGCCCCCCCCCCCCCGCCCCGTCTCCCTCAGCAACCCTGTGCCTGCCTCTTCTTCATTTTCTTCCCAGCATGGCTCACCTTCAATTCACCCCACCCCTGCCATTATTCTCTCCTCTGTCTCCTTTCCATAGGCCCCTAAAGACTGGGGTCTGTCTGATTCGCTGACCTCCCCAGCTCCCAGCACCCAGCACAGTGCCTGCACCCAGCAAGGGCTCAGTGGGCGGCTGCCGAAAGTACCTCTAATCAGCTAGCTTGAGGCTCCCTCAGCAACATTACACCTGCCCTTTCCCCTGTCTAGGCTGTTCTGCCAGATTGTCCCATGCTAGCTTTTTCTCTTTATTCAGAACTCGGCTCACATATCCATCCTTCGAGAGGCCGTCTCAGACAACCTTTACCCAAGATAGCACCCCCAACATTTCTCTTACTCTGCTCTCTTCTCCTCTGAGGCTTGTGACCATCTACACTTAACATGAGCTTACTTCTCTGTTCTTTGCTGTCCGCCGTCTGCTCCCACAGGTAAGCGCTGGCCTGCCTTCACCGCAGCCCTGAGCTTCGAAGCCTCACCCACCCTGTCCGCCCTGACGGAGCAGAGGGGCTGAAGGTCACGGCTGAAAGTGGGTGTGCTCCACTTTTGTTCTGACCTCCAATCGCTCAAGTTTGCAATGCAGGTGTGATGGGGGTGGGGAGGGGATGTAAACACCGGGAGGCAAGGGAAGGACAGAGGGAACACCCACCCAAGTAAAGAAACGCAAAAAGGGAATGAAAAGAGAAGAGAAGAGAAAAAGCAAAGCAAAGGCTCCCGAACAACGATGACAACAGTAACCACAGAAACTGGCCTTTTCTCCTCTGTACCGTGGGACAAGCAGGCTGTGGATGGGGAGGGGTCGTCACGCTTTCCGCCCTCTGCTTCTGTCTCACTGCTGCTCCCTCAAAGCCCCCTCATGCTTGATGGGCATGCCTGTCTCTGTGCCAGCCACTAATCCAGAATCTTCTGCGGGAGGGAGGGGACTTTTCGGCTCTCCTGGCATGCGGGCTTTGGGTTTACAGCAAATTCTGAACATAGCAGCTGGGGAGAGCCAGGGGAACTGCTTTCCAGGAACTTTGGGGTTCCCAGGTCCCAAACCGTCCCTGTAGGCATGAGGGTGGATCAGGGCTTGCAGGCGACACAAAGCGGTGTGGGGTGACTTACCCACAATCAAAGAGGAAGGTTCCCTTTCCTCACCATGGAATTAGGAAATGTGAAAGTGCAACTCCAGAGCTGGCCCCTTTCACTGAGGGAGGGCTCGAACCCCAAACCAACTAAAGACAGGGCTCCGTGCGTGTTGGCAGGTCAAAAATGCTAACGGTTGGCAAGTTCTGTGAAGATTACCTCCCATCCTGTGTGCATGCATCTGTGCCCAGGACTGGGAGAGTCCAGACTCATGCTGCTGATGTCAACAAGCAGTTGCACTGAGCTGACCCAGGCATGGGGTGAGTCCTGGGCCTTTCAGGCGGTCGGCCTTGCTTTTCATCCTGGCCATGTCCAGCTGCAGGGCCTCGAATAAGTCTTGAGCTTCCTGGGCTCCGGCTCCCAGCCCTGGGAGTCAGCCTGGAAGTGCCTACTGGGGGAGGGCTCGGAGCAGGGGTTCTGGGGTCTGCCTTAGGCTGCGAGCTGGCATGTGCTTTAGGAATTGGCTGGACGGTCCTTCCCTGTGGTAAGGCCCATGGTTGCAGGAAGGCTCGGGCCGGGCAGGGCTGACACTAGTCCTAATGTGGAAACAAAGCTGTCAAATAGCTGAGAAGAAATGCCAGCAAACTGTTCGCAGAAACCCCAGTGGAGAGACTTGGCTTGAAATCAACGAACTTCCTGAGAAAGGCGCTTTCACTTTGCAAAGCTCCTTCCTCCGCGGGCTTGGCTTAATCGTGGGAGCTGCCGCCCTGCAAGTGTGTGATGAGCTGGTCTCCCCAGGCTCCAGGACGGTGTGTCCGAGGAAATCGTTGGGGCCTACCTGGCATTGGCTTTGCCAAGTTGGATGGAAGGCTTTCACGTTGGCAATTAAAATAGAGCAACTGCTACGATCTGCTTCTGGCATGGTCAGTCAGAACTAAACAGCCCTGAGGGAGCCTCTCTGGCCACATCTGACCAGATTTGCTGCCCGCCCCTGCCCGTCGCCTGGCTGGGTTAGGAGCCCTCTCTGAGTACGGAGGCCCAGTGCTGCTGCCTGATGAGATGGGGGAGCCATCGGGGCACGCTGGTGGGGAGCAGGCTTTGGAAGTGTGGGTGGGGAGGGGGTGCTGGGGCGTGTCTGTGTGTCTCCGCTCACCCCCGGGGGCAGCCATCTATCTGGCACCCAGCTTGCTGCTTGGGAGTAAACCTGCGTGCACACAATAGCCCATCTCTGGCCACACGTTTGGATCCTCGCGCCCAGCCTGGGGAGTGGGGCCAAACATGGGTGAGAGTGTGACTGGGGCAGGGGCAGGGCTAACTGGCATAGCAGCGGTGGAGCGGGGGGGATAGGCTTGCGCTCCGTTAGTTTCCATCAGACGGAGAGTGCTGATTAATCGAGCCACTCACAGGGGCTGGTCTCCGGGCGATGGCAGCCGTGAAGGGCAGGTGCGACACCCCAGCTGAGAATGCAAAGGCTGAGTGAACCATCCTGGGGCTGCAAGGTCACTGTGTGTGGCCAGAGGAGTGGGTGCTGTGTGGGGCTCCCAAATCCAGAAGCAGCAGACATGTGGCTGTGGGAAGCCTGGGGGGTCAGGTTGGCTGGAAAGGGTAGGTGGGTGTGAGTGGGGGTGTGCTGAGCCCCAAAGACCTCTCATCTCTAACCCTCCCTGGTCACCCCTCCAGGGAGCTCTCCTCTCCCTCCTGCCCCGAGGATATCCTCCGGCCACCTCTTGGCATTGGTACTACGTGCTGGAACCTACGTTGGTGAGCGACGTCACCCACCCCTCTGGCCCTGAGGCTCCTTGTATGCACCCTGCACGGGGCCTTCCACCCGGAGAGAATGTCAGGCATTCTTGGCGGAAGGGATGTCAGATCAGAGGCCCTGGCGTGCTGGAGAGACTTGTTCCAGCATGGGGGTTAGGGCCAGACTGGCTGGACCGTGGGGAAAGAGGACAGGAACCTTCTCATAAGAGCTGGGGTTTTCCTTAGGAAAACCTCATGGCCTGTAACCATTGCACCCTCTACGACGCGGCCTCTCGGCTAGGCTTAGAGCTCTGTTGTGATCTGCACCTTGCCTTCCCTCTGGTAAGTTCCAAGAGAGGGTGAGAGCCTTCTTCTGCTTTGTACAATGAGGGTGCTGGGCGTAATGATTTCTCTAGGTCCTCACAGCTTGGACTGGGGGGCCAGTCCAGAGTTCCAAACAAATCTGCCCCACAGTGGTTTTGGTTGGTGGCTTCCAGAAGCAGGTGTGTCCCCTGGTCTTGCCCGGTCCTCCAACCAGCACCTTCCTCCACAGTTCGGGAGGTTCCTTTCTGAGGTGGGTCCTTGCTACCACACGAGCACCCTCCTCAGACGGAAGGTGCTCAGCTCTCACTGGGCTCCTGTCACCTGTTCCTCACCCAGCACCGTGGGGTGTGGATGGGACAGTGGCCCCCCTTTTTTTGGCCAGGCACTAGTTCTATCCCCCTGGAGTAGCTCGTGACCAGTGGAAGGGGTGGTATCTCTCAAACTGTTCTTACCAGGCACTGCTGGGCTCCCCAAAGTGGGAAGTGGGGTGACAGATGGCTGCAGACGGAAGGAAGGTGCTAGGAAGAGAGGAGAGAAAGAGGCTACTGCCAGGGAGAAAGCCCAAGGAATCCAAAAGGAACCAAGAGACAGCAGGCCTCACCAGGTTCCCAGAGGGGAGGCCCGGGCTGGCCCTGGAGGGGAGAAGGCCTGAGGGGCGTGAGGAGTGGGGGCTCTGCTAGCTGCCTCTCCCCGTTCAAGTCAACAGACAGATGGACAGACAGACAGGAAGTGCAGCGAGAGATGGCAAAGAAACACGTGGAAAAAGTCAAGGGAGAGGGAGGGACAGGGCAGGGCAGACCCACGCCCCCGCTTGTCCCTTCGTTTCCAGGACGGAAGGTGCTGCTGCCTCAGCCAGGCCCTAGCTGAGGCGCTCCTGGGAGGCCGCGTACCATTTCTGTCCTCAATTGACTGTAGCTGAGCCTCCTGCAGACCTCTCTGGGTGGTGGTGGCAAGACCCTTCTGAGACGAGGCCGGGGCTTTCCAGCCGATCTGTGGTGGCTGACGGTCAGTATTTGTGGCCCAGGTGGGGAGGCCCAGTGAGTGTGCAAGGGAGCTGGAGGTGTGTGTGGCCTGTGGTTTGGGCAAGGGGTGTGTGTGTGTGTGTGTGCGTGTGCGCATGTACATGCTGTTTCCGAAGGGGACAGGGTGGTCCAGCAGGGACTGGTGCGGCCCACATCCCTTCCTTAAAGGGCAGAGTGGCCTGAAACGACAGTGTAAGCAAGAGGAGGGATGCCCCCCACTGGGGACCTCTCACCAGTTCCTAAAAAAAGAAAAAGAAAAAAAAAAGACGAAGAAAAATTAAAAAAAGAGGGTGGGGGAGAAGACAAGACAAAAGAAAAAAGGGAAAGAGAAGAAATCAAGAAAAAAGAAAATCCGAGTCTGGTGAGGGAAAAAGGCATAGTTAACGGCTCCCGTCTGTGGGGAAGTAATGTGTTCACGGAGGTGAGAGTTGCCGGGTTTCACTGGAAGGAAAGGAAAGAGGTAGCAGCGAACCAACCCAGCAAGGGCTCTGGGCTCATACTTGAAGGTTTACTGTTTGGGCTTTGATATCTCGAGTTCGTTACAAGAAGCAGGAGGTGCTGGGAGGGAGCAGGGCCCACACCGTTCCCTGCGTTCTCGCTCGTTAGGGAAACCATGGGGTGGCGGGTTCAGGGCTCTAGTAGCTTTCCTTTTGTTTTTGTAAAAAGATGTGAGCAATCATGGAAGTTTCTACCTCTTTTAGGACAGCCCTTGGGTTCTCTTTAAAATGTGACCAACATGGTGGGAAGTTTTCATTGGAACATATAGAAGGGAATGTACTTCTCCCAGCTTCTCAGAGGAAGGAAGAGAGAGAATGTGGACCGGATCAGGCTAAGACCTTCCAATCCTGAGGCCTGTTCTGAAAAGAGCAAAGGTGCTTTGGGAACAAGTGGAAACGTGGCAGAGTGCAGGCTCCGGGTGTGAGGGGGACTCCAGTTCGAGGCACACCTCGGACCCCTCTAATACCGTGGGCTCAGGGCAAAGGCCTACGGGGCAGGTAGCCCCTGAGCAGAAGCAACTGGCCACCACCGAGCCCACCTGGGGACGTGTGACCGTGGCTTCCCGAAGCCTACATCCGGTCTCCTGCCTCTGGAGACCACCTCCAGGGGAGTTCTGGAAGCTGCCACTT